AAATAAATATTGACGTTTGCATACAAGATATTCAAATTAACATGATCCATTAGGTTTTATCTTTGAAGGGTTCTACTCTCCTCCATCTGGTTTGAAAAGATGTGAGAAGACCGCTTCATGTGGATGACCACATACTTTTTGACGAGAGTGGTGACGCGATATGATTGCAGGGTCACCTTTAGCAACGTATGACCGTGACCATAGTTTATATATAGGACTACTGTGATTAGCACAGCCATAGTCATACAACGTGCTATGATTTGGCAAACCGTAAATACACTTTGATATAGCAAGTCACAGTAGTAGTCGAGAATCCGTATTGCCTTCAGTAGATAGAAGTCCGAATGGTTTCACGCGAATAATAAGTAAAAGATGAAATGAAAGCATGATGTGATATGATTTGTTTAATTTTCTTTATTTACATAACATGATTATATGTTTGATATGATTGATTTGATGTTGACATTTTTCTAAATAAAGTAAAATATTTTCTTTATTATTGAAATGGTCTCACATGCACATTCTCCGATAGTAAGCAGATAAGATATTATTTCTAAGTTAATTACTTACAAAATCTTAATAGTGTCATTTAAATACTATTTCCTTATTGAGTATGTGGAACTCACTCATTTTTATGACCCCCTCTTCAGATGAAGACGATAGTGAAGATCTACTAGTTGACCTGCCCATTGAAGTGTTTGAGAATCTCGTAAATCCATAAACCGTTTCGAGTGCATATTTTGTTTCGCACTTTAATAAGTCCAACTTTTGAAGAGACTTATATTTATTTTATCTCGTTTCAGTATTGTAAGATTTAGAAATCAAATTTTATGTTATATGGGATTGTAATATTTTTATTCCACTGCATATAATTATTTTAAATGCACTCGTATATGTTTCTGTATATATCACAATTATACTTTAATTAGTATTTAAGATGTCATATTACCAGTGTCAATCCTTTCCCTTATTCGAAGATTCTGATTTTCCTAAATTTGTTGTACCTATAGCTGATGAAGAGTTAAATTGATACAGAATATATGTAACAGCCTCGGAAATCCAAAAGAAAATATATAATAATTTAAGTGCGGAAGCGAAATAAAATGTTAAGATTTACATTTCTTACACAATAACTTAAAAATACTAAACAAACATCACAGAATGAATTCTCTGAAAGAAACACAATAAATGAGAAAAGTAAAAGAAAATATATATTATCTAGCATCTACTCGCAATCTTCTTACAGATCGGGTTCGGGAACCAGGTTCTCTTGATCTGAAATGGTTAAATAAGGGGTGACCTACACTAGTTTAGTAAGGACATCACACTATATCACCGGTACAGAAATAAATGTTGGTAGAAAATTAAAAACAACAAATGGAATATTAGATTTAAACCAATGCATTGATTTAAAATAAAACCATTTACCCTTTTATTTACTGTTGGAGAATTTATGAAAACAAATTATAGAAGCAATAATATCATACAGATCATAACTTCATGCACGATCAGCAACATAAAACATATCATAAATTCACATTTATTAACAATAAATTAAATTGTAACCGTTTCTCGTTTCACCCAGCCTACTAGTATCTATGAGAATCCATAGAGGTGTCCCCGTTACACGTGAACCCTTTCTCTTAACAGTCTTAATTACATAGCCGACCCCATACTCCGTCCGGTATGAGCGCTAAGACATTAAAGCTCAATACCCTATCAGGTATGAGGGTGAAGTGGGCCGTCCCCATACCTCGTTCGGTTTGAGTGCCAAATTACAAAGTCTCCATACCCCGTCCGGTATGAGACAACGTTCACGGTAGGGTTCCCTATGAACCCGGTCCGTCCACCATCTCCCAAGATATCTAGTGAGGCTGTCATCTTATCTGTTTATTAGATTACATCCCTTTCTTATTTTCTCTTAGTTTTTGTTATCAAATAATATAATTACTTAAACAAATAAACATGCATCTTGCCATGCAATCATATTTTAGATCCCAAAATCAAACAGTGATCAAGTAAGACAATAATACATACATTTAAACCATAAAATAGATAAACTAGAAACCATCATATTTTTAGACTGCAAGATCAATCAATGGAAATCAATAGAGAATAATGTCCAGTTCGGGCTCTATTAGCGGTCCGTAATTAATTATACATATCTATTTAATTTGTACAAAATACAATATTATCATTTATTCAAAATTCAATTCCATGATAGAAAATAGGGTGAGGGGTTCTTACTTGATTTGACGCCGAAAAGTTAAATAGTTTACTGCGCCTACGGGCGGTCCCTAGGTTCTCTGAATTTTTCTTCGGGAACTGAAACGCGCTTACGGTACCTACAAATGTTCCAAATAATCCAAAAATCAATCCCAGGGCCTACTCGGCCAATTTCGAAAATCCAGCACGGTAGTTTCGTTGTGCTCCAGCGACGGTGCCGCCGCTTGCAGCGACAATCTGCCTCGAGTTAGCCGTTTTCAAACGGCCGAATTCAGCCAAATTTGCATCAGTTCCTGTGAGAGAACACACTTAGAGCCATCGGTTGGTCGAAAAAACGTAAAAAACTGAAATTTACCGGCGGTGGGGCTCTCCGAAGCGGCAGCTCCTCCGGCTCACGTTGCAGTTGGGCGTTTGCTCCAGTCAATCTGTAGAGAAGAAAATGGTGATCAAAACAATGGAAAAATTACGCGAACGGGAATCGAAAAGGGCCTCATCGGAGGTGGTTTGTGAAATTTTTCCTGGCGGTCCCGCCGGGCTTTAGCGGCATTTTTAAGCCAATTGGCCGGTTCTTTCACTCCAATTTGGTCATGGGTGGGTTTAAAATTGAATTTTGTGCAAGAGGAGAAAATTTTACCTCTTTTGGCGGTCGAAAAAGGTTCCGGTGCGACGAGGGGTGGCGGCAGTAAGCTCCCCAACAATTGGGCTGTCTTCTCCAGCGAGGGATTCTGGCGGCTAGGGTTAAGGTTTGGGTGCAAATGAGGTTATTTATACCCATCTGCTTTTGATCTGAGTCGTTCATCGCTTTTGATCTGGACCGTCCGATCGCGATAAAATAATGAGTGAATCTGGACTATTCATCGCGATTCAATCTGGGCTGTCCGTGCGCGATTCAATCTGGGCCGTCTGTGCGTGATCCAATATGGGTCGTCCGTGCGCACGAGAACGGAGCTCAGCCGTTCGATCGCGCACACGCGGATCGCCTACATGGCTCCCCCCTGCGTGCCTCCCACGTCAACACCTCTGCCACCTGGTGTGTCCTGGTTGGTCAGGGCTGCTGACCAAGCATCTGACATGGCGCAGTCGGCTCTCCAGCAATTGGGCTGTCTTCTCCGGCGAGGGATTCTGGCGGCTAGGGTTAAGGTTTGGGTGCAGATGAGGTTATTTATACCCATCTGCTTTTGATCTGAGCCGTTCATCGCTTTTGATCTGGACCGTCCGATCGCGATTAAATAATGAGTGAATCTGGACCATTCATCACGATTCAATCTGGGCTGTCCGTGCGCGATTCAATTTGAGTCGTCTGTGCACAATTCAATATGGGCTGTCCGTGGGTACGGGAACGGAGCTCAGCCGTTCGATCGCGCGCACGCGGATCACCTACATGGCTCCCCCCTGCGTGGCCTCCCACGTCAACGCCTCTGCCACCTGGTGCGTCCTGGTTGGTCAGGGCTGCTGACCGGGCATCTGACGTGGCACAGTTTTTTCTAAATTACATTTTTATCCCCAATTTTTGATTTTTCTTTCAAAAAAATTCCTAAAACCTAAATTTTCACCTATTTTTTCCAAAATTGTTTTCAATTTAATTTATTATTATTATTATTTTTTTATTAAATTAAAATAAAATAAATTATATTAAATTCAATTCAATTAATAAATAATTATATTTAAAAAAATAAAAAAAAAAATTTAATGTTGGGTGTTACAATACGCTCTAGGATTTGAATTTCCGCATTTGAAAAGGCTCAAACTTTTAGTGTGTCAGGTATTTTATTTGTCTCAACTAAATTTTTTTTAGCTCTCGTAGGTTCACAATTTATTCTCTCATGACGTCTTGTTGGTTTTTCATGCAACTTCTAACAAGTTTCTTCACTGTGTTTTGCCTTAACATAATAATCATACTTCCGTAAATCTTTGGATTGGTTAGACTATAATAATAAGCTTGTTGTAATGAGGGAATATGATCCTTACCTAGCACCTGAATCCATATCTGATCATACTCGGGACTTAGACTAGTTAAGAAATCATAAATCTGCTCTTTTTCTATCAGTTTTTGAAATTTAACTGTATTTTCAGAACAATCTGCCTGAAAGTCTTGATAGTAATTTAATTTCTTTCATAATCTACTTAATTCTAAAAAATATTGAAAAATAATCATCTCTCATTTCTTTGTGCCATGAACCTTATTCTGAAGTTCATAAATTTTGGCATTATTATCCACTTGTGAGTATGTGAGAGATATTGCACTCTATAATTTTACTGTAATATCGAGTAATAGATATGTTCGTGCAATATGGGGTTGCATGGAATTGATGAGTCAAGATATTATCAAAAAATTTTCTGAGTCTCATTTGTTATATTCCAAATCACCTATATCTTGTTTATTCATATCACCTGTAATGTACCCCTGCAATCCTCTAACTTTGATAAACAATAAATGAGATCTTGACTAATTAAGATAATTAGTTCTATTAAATTTTACGAGACTAATTTGTAATGAGAGGTTATTCGAATAAGAAACTGTCATATTTTTTGTTTGTCATTTTAGTGAACTAGAAATAAGAAAAAATAATACTCAGTAATAAAGAATATACTTTCTAATCAGCACTAAAATACGCCAAAAAAATGTTGTAAACTGGAACTAGATCTGTCAAGCAATAGCTCGGCTCAAAAATCAACTCGATTTCGGTTCAAAAACGACTTGAACTCGGCTCAAAACTGCTCGGCTCAAAAATGGCTCGGCTAAAAAACGGCTTGACTCAAAAAACGGTTCGGCTTGGCGCAATTGACTCAACTTGGGCAAAAATTGGCTCGGCTCACAAGCTCAACTCAGTTTGTCACAGTGCGGCCAGAAAAATTTCTTGCGCACGGCTCTGCACACTGCGAAAGAGAAAGATTGGTGCACGACATATCAAAGCAAGTTCGCGTGCATCTGTATGATGTAGAAGGCCGGTGAGTCGCGACCAGCGACTCTGTGCAACGCAGATCTCTCAGGCGACGCCTCTTAGTCTCTCTGTGCGCGACGAGGGTGATTTGTTTTCTCCAGGTTGCGACTAGATCAACATGGAGAAAGGAGGCACGGCTCGAGTGCATATGGTCTCGCGGTGGAGAAGAAACCAGCTACTTTCTCTTTTCATTTGATTTGACCTCTCTTCCCATATTTGGCTCTCTTCTTTTGATATGGCTCCTTCTAAATTTTTAGGATTTGAAAAAAAATTTTAAAATTAGAATTCTAAAATAGATTTATTTTGTTATGATATCATATAAATTTTGAAATAAAAAATATTAATTTTATTTTTCATCATTTACATTGTTATATTTTTCACATTTGATAGGAAAATTTTTATTTTATTAAACTTTTAATTATATAAAATTATTATTTTTATAAAATTTTAATTATATAATAACAACTAATTAAATAATAAATACTAACTAATTAAATAATAAATTAAAATAATTAATTAATAAAATACAGTAGTCAACAGTTTATGTAATAACACTTATGGTATTATACACAACAAACACCGATATACTTTTTCCACAACTACGTCAATTTCAGAATAAATTAAAAGAAATAATATTTAAGACCCGAAGGGAGATTTCTCATAATAAAGTATGAGAAACAGCATTCAAAACCCAATGAAACAGCAAGCAAGAAAAAGCCAATTGAGGAACGCAGGGAAAAAAGAAAAGAGATGGATTCCTTCGACTAAATTTGTTGACATTTTGTGCGGACAATCTTTTTACAGGATGACTGGTTAGTATGCATCTGTTAAGAGATTAATAAAAAATAATAACCAGTGAAGTGCAATATATATAGCTTGAGAATTCAAGAAAGTTATTGCCCCTACAAAAAAGATAATCATGAAGACTAAATTTGAATGAACAATGTTAAGAAATCATGATTATGCCGACTATAAAATATTAAATGTCTTTATAGTATGATTTTCAAAATATAATACTTCTACCAAGAGATCAAAGCACATGAAATTCCTTTCTTAGAGCTAATGACTTAAATTCGAGTGAGAATCACATTACAAGGACATTTCTATGTTTCAAATTATAGTACTCCTATGGAACTTCTTAGAATGTAAAGTTTTATTTTCGCTTATGTAACTGAAGTTAAAACCACCGTATATTATAAGGCTTGTACCAAGCAATATCTCCCTCAATACTCTTACTAGTAAAAGTGTAGTACAAGTTAAATATAATACATGAGAGACTCAGTGAGAATCTAATAGAGCAGATCATCAACTTCATTAGTAATATGCTAATTAAGCAATTTGTTGCAAGGAAGTGCTTCTATTTTGCCATTTGATTAGTCTTTAAGGAAAATGAAAAAGAAAAAGAAAAGCTAAACAGGTTGGAAACAGAGGATGGCATACAGATTTTAGGGAAACAGAATAAGAAATGACTGTGAGATAAAAGCAGAAAAGAATTAGAGCACCAGGAAGCACTCTTGGGGGTGCTGTTAAGGACTTCCTTGGTGGTTAGCATTGTAGAGTGGTTGTTGACAAGATGGAGAACCAACAAAATATAGCAGAATTAAGAGGAATATAAGTTGAAAATTCTATGAAGAACATAATGACAAAATAAATTACCATATATGAGGAGTGAAGATGACCTTTGAAAGCCAAATATAAGGATAAGTTCTTGACTAGTTCAGCACACAAGAACTATAGATGCTTTAAGAGAGAAAACAGCCACAGGTGGTCCATATTTTGGAGCATGACAGGCACCGGGATATTTACATTTTGCCTTACCTTCATTGATGTGTCATGAGCAAGTGAACAAATGCATGAGTCCCTTGACATCATTTTATTACTAGAGAAGCAACAAAACTAAATATCAAACACTTCCATCTCCTGACAATTATCAGAAATAATCAATTTGAATAAAATTGAACAATGCAATAAATAAAGTACTCATTAAATGGCCACATTAATTGCCTCATTTTAATGGGAAAGCAAAGAGAAAACCAAGGGTGGTTGAGAAGCAGGTGCATATAATGGTGGAGGCAACAAGGAAATTCTTGCATGAGAAATAAAGGAAATGGTTTTGGAGCACCAAGTAGTGCACCAAGTAATGCATGAGAAACCAAAGTAGCCAATATGGTTGTTGACAAGAAAAGGAAATGAGAAACCTAAGTAGACAACACTTGAAAGTGTGTAGGATACTTGGAGACTTGAATCATAACAAAAATTATTATGAGTAAAACAGAAGTCCTTGAAAAAAATAAATATAAGAAGAATCAGGCTGCAAACTTGCTGATGAAGCTATTGTACAGAGATTCTCACCTGATGATGATCCATCCTCAATCAGATATTATAGAGGGCACATGTTGGACAATGTAGAAAGCCTCTCCTCCTTCAACTAGTCTATCTTTGAAGGCCTTTGGCATTCCCTGAATAGTTAATTGTTTGAGAGTTTTAGCGAACCTTATTGCACTAGGAAGCCTTTTCAATTTGTTGCAAACACTAATCTGCAAGTATTGGATATTAAGCATAGCCCCTTCTTCCATTTTCCATTCCTCTAAGTTTTTCAGCACGAATAAGGACAGAGATATTAGTTGAGGAAAACCTTGCCTAGAGCAAACAATTTTCCTCACATTAAAGGCATTCCATCTGAGGTCAAGATGCCTTAACTTTGGTAGCTTTTCTAGAATTGGCATTGGATCTTCTTCAAGTTTAGAAACACCTAAGGTTAAGGAGGTAATTTCATGAGGGAACTGCTGGTAATCTGGTAGCTTCTCTATCCCTAGATACAGCACCAGCTTAGACAGACTATCATAACCTAAAAGCAATTGCGTCAAGTCCACTTTTGGTGGTTTTGGTTTTAAGCTGCTTTCTGTTGCGCCAAATTCAAAAGAACCTCCTAATGATAAGGACTCCAAAAGTTTTAATGAGTGACTTAATGAAGCTGGTATGATTTCCTTAGAGCCTTTGCTTATTGAACATCGATGCACTGTTAATTTTCTAAGATTTGTAAAATTGAATAGATCTCTTAAGCAGCAGATCCCCACTTGAAAATTCACAAGTGTTTGTAAGTTTTTTAAATTACCCAACTGCAGCCTTGTGGTATCGTCACATCTCTGAGGGAGATATAAATGCCTCAAGCTTTCCATCTTCCATATCACATCGGGTACATGGGCATCATATACGCGTAAATCTAAAGTTTGTAGCATCCTTAAATTTCCTAAGGATGAGGGAAACCTAGATACATTACCATCTTTTATACTCAAGAATCTCAAGTGGATGAGCTTACCAACATCTCTGGGAAAATTCCCTCCTTTTATGTCTGCTCCTTCAAGATCCAAGACTCTCAACAACTTCAAACCTTTGAAGCTTGGCTCTAATAATTTCCAATTTCTATTATCAGCTGATATGTAATTCACAATTCTATTGAAGTATAAGAGAGACCTGAGATGAGGACTTCTAATCCACCCTTGGTTAAAAACTTTTTCACCCTTGACTCGATTCACATGCACAGCAACTCTGCGAAATTCACCAGCATATGGAGAAGATGGCACTTCACCATTTGGTTCTTGAGACTCGGGATTTATAACATGTAAGAAGCCCTCTCGCTCTGCTTTCAACAAGCAAAGATCTCTCATGATATCATGCATCCGACAACTAAAGATTTTTGAGCTCAGTTCACTTGTGTCAACCATAACCATGCTCCTCCCTACCAGCTCCTCGAGGCAGCTTTCAGCCACATCCTCCAACGTTCTTCCCTGACCCCGTCCTATATCCTGATTCGATGGAACTATTCCATCAGCTATCCAAAATTTAATCAATTTATCTACTGATATTTCATAATCTTCCGGAAAATGGCCTAAATATAAGAAGCATTGTTTTAAATGTGGGAGCAAATCATCATAGCTCAAAGATAAAACATCAGAAACTGCAGAACAATCTTCTCCATAACCACTGCCCTTTGTGATGTATGTTTGTATGTTCTCGGCCACCATTCGCCACTGCCTTAATGTATGTTTTGTTGCCAAGAGTCCCCCTAACACCCTAATGGCTAATGGCAAGCCCGCACAATATCCAACCATTTGCTTTCCTAGCTCTTCCATTCTTTGATCAATTTCAAGATCTGCAGAAACATTTGCAACATTAGGATCAGAACAACCATAATGAGCTGGAATTCTGAATACATTGCAGTTTGATAAAAAAAAATCTTAAAGTGTTTTTTATATCTAGTTCGCAGAGAGTCTTGTTACTTCTATTAACCAAATAAAATAAATTATGCAATAAATTCAAATAAATGAAAAGAACTCGTCTTGAAATATAACATAAGATTTCATGTAAGATATTTGTTCCTCTAAAAGAAATCTAAAAAAGGAAATTTTAATTATTATCATTCATTAACTGAGAACTATTTAGTTCATACTGATATAATAGGTGTACATATATATATATAGCATATGAATATATCCTAAAAAATTTCTCATACATGAAACAGACGTTTTAGAAGCTGACTTTCTTTTCCAAGCTGTTAATTAGTATCAGAATACAAAGACTAGATTGCATTTTTTAATATCAGGTTAAGCCTTTTTTTTTTCCTTTTCCCTTCGCTCTATTATTTAGAAGAACAACAAAGTTATAGTCTTTAAAGTTTAATTTGCCTGAGATACACTTAGCCTGTGTCGATGCATTCAGCATGCTGGGCTTCACGCAAGGAGACATATTACATATAATATCCTGAATTATCTACTATAGA